GTGGTTTTAAAATGCTAATTTTAGGAAAATATAAAAGTCGATGGTGGTTTTAAAATGCTAATTTTAGGAAAATATAAAAGTCGATTGTATTCTAAATTGAATATATACTACTTATGCACTAAATGCCTGCTCATTTTCCTCCTTAAGAATCCTTTCCACATCTTATCTGTAATCAAAGGGAGTTCTGTAATAGAGCACTGATATGGGGGAACGAACATGCAATCAAACCACAAGGGAGAGCAACATGTTGAAATAGCACTTCAGATGTGCAAACAGTGTAACTCTGCATCAGAATTCAGATGACAGGATTCCTCCAGGCTCCATTCAAGTGTCAACAGAATGCCTTTTGCAGACATGTGGCTGTTTTGGAAAATTGTTGAATAAGATAATGTTCAGGAACACTTCACGCTGCCCTAAATCAGTGAAGATCTGTTGACATTTCTGTTAAGTTCGGAAAGGAGGGAGGCCACACCAGAGCTTTAGTCATAACACACTTTATTCGGAGGAATAAAGGGGGCTGTCGCGTCTGCAGCTAACAGCAGACCTACCAGCGAACAGCAGCTGGCTCAACCTAGCAGCCGGCTTTTATAGCCGACTGTCGAAGGGAGCCAGCCAATGGGGACTAAGAACGCCCCCGCAGGAATTGCGGATCTGATGGGGAACTGGTGTCAGCCCCGAGGACATAACACCCCTTCCCCCCAGATACGAACATGAGTAGTCTTTAAGGTATGAAGGCGGTTTGTGTTGCCGCTCTGACCGTCTTAGTTCGGGTGTAGGAGCGGGTGGCACAGAGTTCGGGACAGCGGGGGTTTGGTCCCTTGGTAGCTGTCCAGCCACCCGATCTTGCTCGCCGGTCGCCGGCCGGGTTGTCGAATTGCTTCGGTCTCCCGGTGCGGTAGAGGAACTGCTGGGGACGGTTGCTGGTTCTGTAGGATGGTCACGGTCAGCCGTCTGCTCCCTCGGTTCGGTTGGTGGAGACAGGTTACTCTGAGTGTCCCAGCTAGGTGCCGGATGCGGTGCCTGGAATGTTGCCGTGGTCTCTGGGTCGGTGGTGGCGTGCTCGTTCTGCCGGCTCCTCAACTGATCCAGGTGTCTCCGCCAAATGCGCCCGTCTTCTAACTGGACGTGGTACGACCTGGGCCCCGTGATGGCCACGATCCTGCCAGGTACCCACAACGGGTCTCCGCGTAATTCCTGGTGAAGACTTGGTCCTGTAAGACAAAACTCCTGACCCTACTGTTAGACCCAATGGGTGTGTCTGGGCAATAGTGAGGGTGCAGCCTGTCTAGTATTGTCCTTAAGCGTCTGCCCATCAGTAGCTCTGCCGGAGACTTGTTTGTGACCGTGCAAGGGGTCGAGTGTTGGCTTATAAGGAATCTAGAGAGTCTGGAATGCCAGTCATCTTGGGTAAACCTGGCGAGGGCCTCTTTGGTTGTTCTGACTGCTCTTTCAGCCAACCCATTGCTCGAGGGGTGAAATGGAGCCGTTAGGATGTGCCGGATGCCCAGGTTGGCGACATACCGGCTGAAGTCTGTGGACGTAAATTGAGGACCGTTATCTGATACAATAGTGTCCGGGAGACCGTGTGTGACGAACAAACGAATCAGTGCTTGGGCGATCGCTCGTGTGGTGGTTGAGAGTAGGAGTGCCACATCGATCCATTTAGAAAATGAATCTACTACTATTAGGAATGTCTTGCCATGGAATGGGCCGGCCAGGTCAACATGTAGACGAGACCATGGTGCGTTGGCGCTTTCCCATTTGGTGGGAGGGGTGACTGGGGGCGCTGGCCGGGATTCTTGACAGGGACGGCAGGAGCTTACCCATTTCGCAATTTCGTCGTCCATGCCCGGCCACCATACATAGCTCCGTGCCAACGCCTTCATTCGTACAATGCCGGGGTGCCCCTCGTGTTATGCCTTCAGGAATGACAACTCTGGTCCCCCATAGCAGACAACCCTGTAAACTGGAAAGTTCCTGTTGGCGGACTTTAAAGGGTGAAAATTCGTTAGAAGGGTTACTACCCGGCCACCCCCTCCGTACCCAGTCCAGGACCTGGGCGATCAGTCTGTCCTTCCTGGATTGGAAGGCAATGTCTCTCGCAGTGACTGGAATTCTGAACTCACTGGTGTCAAAAATGGTGTGGACTGGGGCCGGATCCTCCACGGGCGTTGGTAGCGGGCATCGGCTGAGGGCGTCTGCATGGCTGAGATTTTTTCCTGGACGGTGAACTAACTTGTATGAATATGCTGCCAGGACTAAGGGCCATCTTGTCATTCGGGGAGACAAGACTTGTGGTGTTTGCTTCTCTCCAGAGAGAAGTCCCAACAACGGTTTGTGATCTGTAACCAGTTCGAAGTTGTGCCCAAACAGAAATTCATGAAATTTTTTAACCGCGGCTACGGCAGCTAGGGCCTCTTTGTCGATTTGGCTATAGTTGCGTTCTGTCATTGAAAATGTTCTAGAGAAGAACGCAATAGGGGCTTCGGACCCGTTGGGTAGTCTATGACTTAATACGGCCCCAATCCCGAAAGGTGAGGCATCTGCTGCCAAAACTAGCGGTAGGTTCTGGTTGAATTGGATCAGTACAGCGTCTGAAGTGAGGAGTGACTTGACTGCCCTGAAGGCGTATTCCTCTTTGGGTCCCCAGTGCCATGGAACATTTTTATCTAAGAGTCTATGTAGTGGTTCTGCCACTGATGCTTTGTGCGGCAGAAATGACGCATAGAAATTCAGCAGGCCTAGGAAGGCTTGTAGTTCTGGTTTGGACGACGGCGTGGGTGCCTCGTGAATGGCTTTAACCTTTGATTCTACCGGGTGGATGCCAGAGGCGTCTATTCGGTACCCGAGAAAGTCCACCTGCTTAGTGGCTATGGTGCATTTTTCTTTTTTTAGTTTGAGGCCATGCTGTCTGAATCTGTCCAACACCCCTCTAACTCTGAGGAAAAGCTGTGTTCTGTCCCGGGCGGAAACCAAGATGTCATCAAAGTACGGAACCACGCCAGGGAGGCCCTGTAGGATCCGTTCCATTAACGACTGGAATATGCCCGGGGCGACACTCGCACCAAATTGGAGGCGCTTGCATCGGAAGGCCCCTCTGTGGGTAACAATGGTTTGCAATTCGGCCGTTTGGTTGTCCACAGGAAACTGTTGGTAAGCCTGTGACATATCCAATTTGGCGAATATCGTTCCGGGTTCGAATGTGTGCAGTAAATGCTGGATTACTGGCACTGGGTATGCGCTAGTCTGTAAATAGCGATTTATTGTGGTCTTGTAGTCTGAGCACATCCTTATACTACCATCTTTTTTGAGGGGTGTGACAATAGGTGTCTCCCACTTAGCAAAATCCGTGGGTTCGATTACCCCTTGTTTTAACAATTTGTCTAGTTCCGCATCCAGCTTAGAACGCAGAGCGAATGGCACTCTCCTCGGTTTCAAGCGGATGGGAACTGCCTGGGAGTCCACTGAGAAGGAAATAGGTGTGCCCTTGTAGCACCCTAATTCATCGCTGAAAACGTCAGCGTAATCAGAGAACAGTGAGTCGGTGTCAGAGGACGAGACAGCATGTACCCCCGTTAAGCTAAGGCCAAGAGAGGGGAACCAATCCAACCCCAAAAGACTAGGAAGGGCACCATCAACTACCACTAATGGCAGGTGGCCTTTAAAGGTTCTGAATTTGACTAGGAACTTGCCTGTTCCGATTACTGGAATGTTCTTCCCTTGGTAGTCTCGTAAGGATAGGCGACTCTTCTGCAGCTGTTTCCTGGACAGGCTGGGACGTATCTTCTTGAGCGTGCTCCATGAAATAATCGAGAGCGCTGACCCGGTATCGACCTCCATTAGGCAGGGTCTACCTTCTAAATGAATGGAGAGTTTAATTTTATTGGGTGTTAAGAAGGTATGGTTAGCTTGATAGCATGTAAAACAATTTTCTACTTGCCTGGACGGCCCCGAGGGGGCGTAAGATGGTGGCTTTTGTGGAGCCACGTGCGCTGCCTGGCACACCCTAGCGATGTGTCCTCTTCTGCTGCAGTTGTTGCAGGTGGCACTTTTGAACCTGCACGTTGCTCTGGCATGGGGACCCCCACAGGAGAGGCACAGCGGGGTGTGCCTAGGTGCGTTGCCTTCTCTCGGTCTAGTTCCTACCTGTGGCTGCTTGAATGGTTTGAGACGGTGCACCTCAGATTGCTCGATGGGCTCTTCTTCGTTCACTGCCTCCTCAGAATGCACAGTGACTGGGTTAGCTTTGGGGGTGCTTCCCTGTATTTCAGCCGCTGACTGTATTGCCAATTCTGCAGCCAGGGCTTCTTCGATGGCTTGTGCGAGGTTGAGATCCTTCCTTGCCAACAACCGCCTCTGTAGCCTTGTATCCTTGACTCCGCAGACAAGTTGGTCCAGGAGCATGTCATCAAGGTAGCCTTTAAATTCACAGTGCAGGGCTGCGGTTCTGAGGGTTGCCATATATTGGTTTATGGTTTCTCCCTCCGCTTGCTTCCTCATGCGAAATGCGAAGCGTCTCGCAATCTGCGACGGTTTCGGCGAATAATGATTGGAGAGGGTCTCCAGTAGCTCAGACCATGGGACATTCTTGAGTTCTCTTGGGGCGAACAGTGCTGTTGCTGTGTCAAATACGGTGGCCCCACAATAGCTCAGGAAGAACGACTTCTTTTTGTTGTCTGTAGCGTTGGCCAGACCCACAGCATCAATATAATGGTTAAATCGGTTTTTATAAGAGTCCCATTTATCTTCGTCTGGCTTAAATGGTGGGAACGCCGGATTCGCATTCATGACTGGTTCAGCTTGAGGCAGGTAAAACAAGTCTCACTGGGAATACAGGCCCTGGAAAAGGTAGCAGCTACAGTTTGTAGTGCTGTTAAACGAGTGTTCAGCTTCTGAGTTCTCTCTGGGTTGTACAGGTAGCAGCTGCGCTCGCAGTGCAATTTCGGTCTAGTGATTCAGCTCGTGGAATCTCTCTGGGTTTTCTCGCTCTCTGCAGCTCTTGGTGGCTGGGAACAGACGTTATAACTGACATCTGTTTGAAATTCGCGCCCTTACAAGGGCGAGGCGGCAATGGCTGCAGCTGCGCGCTGACAGCGATTTGAATTTCGCGCCAAGATTTAGCGGCCGTGAGCGTCGCGCTGGAGCTTCGCTACACGAGATTCTGGCAAGCTTGCTGTTGGCGGCTGAGGCTCTCAGCGCCCAACTCTCTTGTAGCTTATTTGTGTTCTTGAGTGGCTACACGCTCCGCTTCGCTTCCTTCTCAAATGGCTGACCGAGCTCTCAACGACGCGGCTACGGTTCAGCGCTTCAGATTCGTGACATTCAGCTCTTGTATAGCTGCTGGTTGGCCACATCCCATCCTCGTCGCCAATGTTAAGTTCGGAAAGGAGGGAGGCCACACCAGAGCTTTAGTCATAACACACTTTATTCGGAGGAATAAAGGGGGCTGTCGCGTCTGCAGCTAACAGCAGACCTACCAGCGAACAGCAGCTGGCTCAACCTAGCAGCCGGCTTTTATAGCCGACTGTCGAAGGGAGCCAGCCAATGGGGACTAAGAACGCCCCCGCAGGAATTGCGGACCTGATGGGGAACTGGTGTCAGCCCCGAGGACATAACAATTTCCTTCACATTTAGTAAAACAAGGCTAAAATAAATCAATTCCACATTATCTTGATGTGTATTACATACATTTCTAGTTGTTTTGCTTTTTTCATTAGCCCAAATCAATTGTATTGAAACATTTGATAAAGGAAGAAAAATTGATACTAATAGATACTAACAGGAAAATCCTATTTCATGCAGCAAGTCACAGCTTGCAATACATCCAAAAATCTACCTGTACAAGTGGAAGAGAGGAAAGAGACTTTTTCATTTGTTTTTATTTTTTTTACAATACTTGGATTTATATTCTCTTCCCTTTGAAACCAAAGACAATGATTTGTGCAAATTCCAAGTCTAGGTTGGTGACTTGTGGGGTTGGGGGGCAGAAAGGCTATTATTGAGTCAGAGGACCCATTGGATTTCTGACATCCTTTTACATTTCCTTCCTTCCTTCCTTCCTTCCTTCCTTCCTTCCTTCCTTCTTTTTTCTGAGTGAGGAACCCCTTTTTATTTGTAAAGGGAAGACTAGAGGAAACATGGCCTCTGAGATAATTGGATTGGCTTAACATTTAATTATTTAAAAGTTTCTATTTGTGAAATTGTCAATGAAAGTCCCTGAAAATAATTAACATCCTAATTTTAGCATGCCTGAAAAGCTGCGTGCATATAAACATAAGTCATTTAGAAGTATAGTCACCCTGTCAGTGTCACTTTGACTTTTATTTGACCAGCATTCTTTCCATTTCAGTTGCCCAATTCAATTCATACTATGCATTCATATTGTTGCCTGCTGTATGAAACAAAGCATTTATAATGTAGACCTTTTCTACCAAAATAAGGCTGGGTGGGATTTTGTTGTTGTTATTAATCTACTACTGCTAGTGCTGACTTTAATTCAAAACTAGTTTTACGCAAATTATAATCTCATGAAGACCAGGAAGAGCTTCAAAAGTGTAGCATGGAAAAATAAAGCATTGCTGAAGGGAAGGCAAATTTTTCTTAAAAGTTGATGGTCCCTGCTTCCCCCCCCCTCTTTTTTTGTTTGTCTGTTTTTCCTTTATTGGCTGTTCAAGCAGCCTATATTTTCAAAAGTGTTCTCTGTTTATCAAAGTGTTATCCAAAAGAGTATTTGCTGGCTTTCCCCTGATTTTCCAGGGTTCCAGCAGGTGAATGTAGAGGACTTAATTCTCTAATCTGGACCACAAATAGCTCTACAGTTGTGGTCACCAGAACTCATCTAGGTCTATATGCATGTTATTCAATTATTTTTATTAATAACATGGATAAAGAAATTAAGGGAATGGTAATCAGTTTTGTAGATGATACAAATCAAATAACATCATAAAAGGCAAAGATACATTCAGAATGGGCTGAAAGAAACGCAATAGTTTTTTACAGAAACAAAAATAGTTTATTCTGTAAAATAGTTTTTTAAGAAACATATGCAATGTTATTAACTTAGTAAACAAATATTATTGTCTCGGGAATGGAAAAGAATTTTGAAAAGAAAATTGTAATGATAATTAATTGCAGAGGGAGCCAGTTTAATTTAGACACTAGCTTAAAAACTGGGAGACTGTGATTTCTGTCCCCAACTTAGGCCCAAAGCCAGCTGGATAACTTGGGTTGGTTGCTTTTTCTCAGTTCTAGGAAGAAATCAATGGCAAACCTCTTCCCCAAAAAACTTTGCCAAGTTGCCATGATTCAACACTGAGTCAAAGCATCCCCCCCCGCCGCCCCCACAAGAAAAAGTTAATTCCAAACTGAATATCTGTTACTTTTGATAGATTTTTTTTATTCTACTCTTTTAGATAAATAGCTCTTGATAGATTTCAGATGAACAAGTATTTAGATGTGGGAAGCATTCCAGTTTTCAGGTCTATGATTCTATTATTTCCTTGAATCTTTTCCCAGATTGAATGATAGATTGGAATATACTCTTCATTTTTTTTATTTGGTACTTCTCTGAATTTGCAATTCAGTTCCTAGATCAGCGGAAACAAAAAGTATAAAATGCAATGTTGAAGGCAAAATAACTTTAGAAATTCATACTTTAATTTTAAAAAATATATTTAGATATTTATGTTACTAAAATAAACGTTTTGAAATGTTTTAAATATTTTGTGACCTTTTAAAGCAAGCATTGATGGAGTTAGGATAGAGTAACTATAACTGTGACAAAATAGAAGATACTGATTTTTCATTCATGTGTGAAGTGCCTCCTCTGTTTTATACCTTCTTATAGAGAAGTGGCTATCATTGATTCCTACAGGGAAAGATGAATGGCTTAATTTTTAAAAAAGAAATAAGACCTGGGCTCAAGCTGTGATTCTCAGTTATCAAACATCCATAATGCATTGCACTTACTGCAACAGTCTGCATTCACATACTTTCTCTCTGACCACTATTTGTGATTAAAACTTGTCCTGAGTATTAAATAATACCATTCCTGTCCTTTTTTTAATTTAATGTAGGTACTTGAAGAATCCAAAGGTTTAGTTCGTAGTATTATGAAGGTGGACTTGGAACAAGCCAATGATAAGGAGTGTGAAGTTTTAAAGAAAATTTGGGGTTCTGCTCAAGGAATGGACTCAATGTTAAAATACTTACAGAAGAAGATTGATGAATTTTGAAGAGATGTGCATTGACACTGGATTGTACTTACTTGGATATCTGGATTTTTCATCAATACCCTAACTGAAATTAAAATAAAACATACCTAAGGCTCAGAAAATGTGGGCTAAAAGGCAGAGGAACATGGTTTTATGGTCAAGGGTTTTTAAAGAAGTACTGTATGTTAAGCATTGATTTTTTTTTCTTTTTCCACATATATAAATATATATATATATATATTATATTTCTTTATGTACACAAACTAAAATATATAATGGAGTGCACTACCAAACTTTTTGTCTTCTACTTTGTTATCATTGGCTAGTACTGTATCAGAAGAAAGTGGTGAATAAAATGAAATGTTGCATTATTTTGTATGTAGCAGGAAAGTCCTGAAGCAATGACTATTTTTTCACTAGAGTCCAGAGTTAAAACGGGTATTGGCCGGCCCTTACTTTCACTGCCCAAAAAGTCAGTTAAGAAGAGGCATTGCCTTGAATTTTGAGAAAGGTTTAAAAATACCTCAAATAATGTATTCTAAACAAAAAACAAATATTTTATAAGAAAAAAAATACCCTATATAGAAAACGCCCCTCTTCCCCCAAATTCCTAAGTGTGCTCAGGATTTATTCTATACGAACACTCAGTCCTTCTTGTTTTGGGGAACGTGCCCTGTTCTTACCCAGATAGCATGAAGATGCCAGTTTCTTGTCAAAAAAAAAAAAAAAAGTTTTGTTTTGCAGTATTAGTGAATCACTGAAATACCATATATACTATGGGTTAAATAATAGTTTAGTGTTAGTGGTTTTATAAAAATTTAGGGTTTTTTAATTATTTTACTACATAATTGCTTCTATTGCTGGGTGAAAAAACCTACATACATTGTTTTGTTCTATTTGCTTGTTTAAAGAAATACACCAAAAATATATATATTATGTCCATCTTTAGCTTCCTGTAGAATATATTTTATTTAATAAGTTAAAATTTGTGTGGCACACTATTAATTATTCCTTTTCCATGCTACCTTATCTGGTTTAGTTTATTGTTTTTTTTGTCAATGCTTTTAATCTTAATTATACACTATGTCCCTGATCCAGAGATCTCTCCATGCAGCAACAGGCGGAAGGCATTTTGCAAGGCATTGGATGAGGTTCCCCTCCAGTGAACAGGAGTAGTGCTTTTAATTGAAGTGGGTACGTAGATGTATTTTTGGCAGCCTATATTTGATGCAGGATTACTATCCGTGGCCTCACAACCCTACATCAATTGTTAGAGGCAAACCCCTCCATCTTCCCATCAAACACACAGTGCCCTTTTGTGCGCATGGAACTGCATCCAGAAGGGCAATGTGCTAGTGAAATTCTGTTTTCCCTTCATGCCTTTTCTGGATCAGGGTACATAATAGACAGTCTGGTATACAAGAGTGCCCTGTGTAAATAGACCTATTTTACATTCCTGTTGGGAGTGTATGATGATTCCTACTTCAGATATCTACTAGGATTTAGATATCTATCCTTGCAATCTTACTGAATGTATGAAGAATGGGGAAAAATTAAACCTTATTTTTGTACAGTTTGGAACTTTATACTTGGAGCCTGACCACCGAGCAGAAAGATGTACAGTGTATAAATCTGCTTTTCCTTGGGTTGGTACAGTATTTTTGCATCTGTGGGACCTAATTTTTGTTGTTCTAGTAGTTTGAACTATATATAAACTGTACAATCTGTAAAGTTTTTATAGAATAAATATTCAGCTGTGAACCTGTTAAAATAAAACTAATATTTCTTAACACCTCTTAAAAGTGCTGCAAAGTGTTGTCCTTATTCTCCATACAGTGTTCTTTCATCTTTCCCCAGGAAATGCATTTTTATAGCTTTGACGTCTCTTTTGAACTGTAGTAATTCTTATAAATTTTAATATCTTCCCCAGATTATAAGCCTTAATTTCCTGTTTTGCAGCAAAAACAGCTTTTAAAAGGCATGTAAAAAACTCACTGGATTAATTCTTAAAGTTACGCTCCTCTTAGATTCTGAAATGCAGAATACAAAAGAATAACTTTCCCCTGGTGTCATGTGAAGACATTAGTTTCTGCTGTAACCTTGTACTGTCTCTGTCCAGGGTTGAAAAAAAAAATAATACGATTCAGTTTTCAGATGACTAATCTCTTCACATCTGAACAACTACAGTGCGTTTGCAAGAAAAGGCTCAGATTTCTACTGCATGTTGCTTTTTTAAAACAATTGGTTAAGACCAACGTCCTACATATTTACTTTAATCAATCACCTTCTTTTTGCCCTCTTGTGTAATTCTCCGTTTTGACCTATAGTCAACCTATTATTTTCACAATGAGTTGTACAAACCATATATGTGCCTGTTTAGCAGTGTGAAGATAGTCATACAACAGCCTTCATTTCCTTGCTGTGCCTCAAAATTTGTGGGCTTGAGCAAGATAATATTGAAGAGTTCCTAACATTGTATGTGTGTGTGTGTGTGTATTCATAAAGCAATGCATCATTCCTACATTAAAAACTTTACGAACCTTGTGTATTTCAAGCAATATTCTTAATCATTCTAAGTAGGAAAACAGACAAACTATTACGTATTTGGAAATTTACAGTGCTTCTTTACCAAAGATATAAAAGTCACCTTTCGAGTGTAAAATAGGTTTAGAGAACACAAAGTATTGTGTCTTGCCTTTGCTTTTAGCAAACTTCATGCAATAATGTATTAGATAAAAATATTTATGGCCAATAATAAAGGCACTCTGCTTTGAAATCCACACCACCCAAGTTTGGAATAAGTCTCAAAAGAATAGTGGAGCTCACATACCTCACCTTTAGTAGCCTGAGCCTTTACAGAATTTTCAGATGTAAAATGTAGTTGCATTTTCTATCACCTGCATGATTGTAGTCTATGTGATAAATGTGGCCTTGAATGACGGCTTTTTCTAATAGCATTTACAGTGTTACGCAGATGCTTTCTCCAGAGGTTCTCAATCTACAACAAGGAATTTTGTGGGAATTCTTGAGACTTCTAAAGCTTTAGACTAGATTCAGGAGCCAAACAATACAATATCCCCAGAGAATGCAATCATCTGCTTAAATCTTCGTTTGTTTTCTAAGAGGTACAGCCCATCTTTTTCTTAATCAAAAGACAATCGACCTAATGTTCCTTACCCAATTTTTCCCCACCACAATCCAGCAAGATAGGTTGGGTTGAAAGAATGACTGGGTCAGAGTCACCCAGGGAGCTCCCAGCACTCAGGGTGGAGCTGAACTTGAGCTTCCCCGATTAAATCACTGCACTACAGTAGCCAGTCATTTCCATGTTGTTCCTAAGAAACCAGCATGGATATGTTCAGGTACACTGCAAGTTATTAACATGGAGATGTTACTTTTAAATAAATAATGCTGGTACTCCATAATCAAGGGAAATAAATGTTGGCTAGAATTGGCTTTCTAAGTGTTTGCCCATTCAGTCAGAAATTTTTGCATGCAAATGCATGTTCCCTGAGATTGTGCTTTATGATGCAATATATTCCAAGCATTTTCCCACGAAAGTGGTGATTTTGGTGGACCTAATCACTTCTTTGTGTATGTTTTTCCAAAATAAAGATTTTTTAAATGTAGTCTTGCATTTGAGATTTTTTTGATGGCTTCCGCCTTGGCTTTGTGCAAAGCCAGCAGGAAATGTCAGAAATCACAATCACATGATTTGGCTCGCTGGAACATTGTAATAATATGAGCCAGGTCATGATTGTGTGGCTGCAGGGGCACTATAATATTCAGAATTTGGAGGTGGGGTTGTAACTATCACTTGTTCAGCACTATCATTAAGTTTGGACAATCACCGAATAAGAACCATCTTCTGTTTGTGTGTGTGTTTTATCAGTATTATAAGAAAATATTTAACATGGAAACAGACTGAACATAAGTATTGGAGAGGGACTATATCATCTCATGATACTTTCAGGCAAGTTTTGTAATTCTCTCTGAACCTTGGAAAGATATTGTCACTATCAAGAATACCAAGCTAGATGACTCAATAGTTGATCTCACAATGAGAAAGCATCCTCATTCTGCTCCTTATCTATAATTGGCCCTGCAAGTACTGTGTTAAAGTTCTGTTTTTCTTGGCAAGCGTTCTGTAGAAATACTTTGTGCATCTCAATCTTTGCTTTGATGTGTTTGGGCTGTTTCAGACATAATTAAACCTAACAGATCCAGACATATTTTTTGCATATTTTGTGCATTGCATTAATTCTTTAATCATTTCCCAGCAACAGCTGTGGGCACTGATTGACAAAGCCAAATACAGATGCACATGCACTCATACACACACACACACACACACACACACACACACACACAAGCTATCATAGTCAGGAAATTATTACGAGATTTGTAGTCCAACGAGACGTAGAGGGCTAGAAGTTGTCCATCTCTACGCTTTCATTCAGAAACCTGTATTTGCCATGCAAAAATAGGTAAAATATAGCTGGGTAAACTTCATCAAAGATTTAATCTCCATAACATAATGAAACTGTTTCTAAATAGACAGCCCTGATGGTTTTGTGAACTTATGAATGTATTATTGAATGGCTACTGCTTTCTTCCAAGATGTTTTTCTCCATCTTCCCATCTAATTTTTAGCTCAGCTCTTTCTTGATGGTCTCCCAAGCAAGCCAGAAGCAGCTGTGATTGTGGTTAACTTTTTGACATTATCCAAATGCTGCCATCTAGCTGGGCTACCTGACTCCCAAGTGTAATGTTTTGGTGAAATGCCTGTTTGGTTGATATTCTTCCATCAGATTTGCATTGTGTTGCCTTCCTTCAACCAGTGCTTAAATATGCTACCGTATAATTAAAGGTGTTCAGAGCATATGTGTTTTTTTGAATTGGGGTACAAAATCTTTTGGTCATTGAGTAAGATTTACGACTCAAGCACCATTTACAGACTATATATTTCATTTTATTTTATTGATACAGTTACAAGATCAATCAACCAATCAATAAACCACTAAACTACAGGAATCCCTGAAAAGACGGCTCATCAGATTTTCACAGAATGCATTCAATATTGGGAGGGTGGGGCATCAGCCCTCTGAGCAATTTTCAAACAGTTCTTTTTAGTAGCAAAGTCCCGTCCCCGTCTCTCTCCCCGCCCCCCCGCAACCATTGACAGAAAGCAGAATCTGCCTTCATATAACTTAAACTTGTGACCTGTGCACTCAGGCAATAAAGAGCGTTTGACTTTCTTCAGGGTTACATCCTTTCAAATATTTTAAAAATGTTACTGTACTCCTTACCCAACCAGTGTTTCTGCTCAAGGTTAAAATTCCTTTCATGTTTTTTAATCTAATATATTTCTCGTCCTCTGATCAACCGTTACTGCCATTTCTCTAAATCGGTTTCATTTTGTTCTGCTTAAAAGTCTGGTGGCCAGAACTGGATGTGCTGCTGCAAACTTTATCCATATTTAGAATGTTAATGTGGCCTAAAATGACATTTCCATTTTTTTAGCCACATTACACTGCTGACTCCCATACAATTTGTAATCAAGATGACAGTGAACCAGACATTGAGGCGATGAAATAATAAGAAAGGGATACATAACTAAAAATAATTTACACCAGTATAACTCATAAAAGCTCTCCATACCCTTTCTAAACTTGCAAATTATTCCTGTTTATTATGCACTACTGGATGCATCACCGGATCTTCTTTAACTCATCAGTTCTTTAGAACTGAAGAAGCTTCCTAGGTGAGAAGTGAAACATCTCCAAAGAAAAAACAAAGTCCAGTTGCCTTTTTAAAAAAGCACCTTTGGGACAACTCTGACTGAGAATCTTCATAGACATACTTTATCTCATCTTTCTCCTCATGAAGAGAAAATTCATTCCAACCAAGCATAAAGTTCTTAACCTTCCCCATTCTCTTGCCCTGTTCCATAAAATAAATAGCATTAGCTGCATACAAAAATATGCATACATTTGTACATACAAACATACATGTCCTAAACAAATCTCTAACACTCATCATCATTCTTTACCCATTAATCTAAACATACATGAAATAACCTATACCATGTTTTTTCTTCTGGATGATAATCCCTAAAAACTGGCTCAATTCAATTACTCTCCCAATATATAAGGAAGGAGACAGACAAGATTATGCCAATTACTATCCACTCAGTCTTTCTATAATTGCTAGATTACCACAAATTTCTCTTATATTCCAAGAACAATCTTCTTTTTTGCTATGGTCATCATCCAGTGAGGTTAATATATTGTTGAAGACTTTGGTCAACTAATCATTTCATGTAATATTTTTTAGTCAGATAGACAAGTTGATAAACTAACCTAGCAGCTTTAGTCACATCTGTGCCATATATAATATTTCCTGCTAAGGGTAAGGAGACTACAGATCTATTTGGTCATCCTATGGTCTGCATACCACTGGGGGACATCAAAGCTGTTTTATATGTTGCTCACAGTAGTCTATCCATTCCAAATTACTTGCAAGCCCAAGTGTTGTGCTCATACCCCACCAATTAGGAGAAATATGCAGGCACCAGGATGCACCCCCTATTATATAGTCACACTTCTTTTTTCTGTTTCTTAATTCCACAATTTTCAATTCTCTATAGTTTATTCGGCTATGTCTGCTGATTTATCTATCCTATAAAAATCATTTTGAAATTTGTTTTTAATATATTTTTATTGATAATTTATTAATACAAACAAGACAGAAAGAGAAGAAAAAAAATTAAAGTTTCAGGAAAAGGGAAAACAGAAGACTTATATATAAAGACTTTCAACTTTTATCAAAATAAGCATAGACAAATTTAATAACTCTTATAGGGTTAAAAACCGATATCTCTCCCTCCCATATCGTATATCTTATCTGTAAGCCAGTGACACAGTGGCCTAGTGGTAAAGATGCTCACCTCCCACTCAGAGATTGAGAGTTCAATCTAAAGTAGCAGCAGATGTTTCTCTCCTAGGGCAGAAAGAAAAAAATATCTGCTCTGAACTCTGCATTGCATCAGGAAGGGTATCCGGCCAGTAAACGCTGCTGCATCCAGTTGCCCCATTTTATAGGGTCATAAAAAGAGAGTGATCTGTAAGCAAATCCATAAAACACCAACTTACCAGGATTTCTCAAAGTGACACATAAGAGTTATGGCCAAACCATCAGCAAATCCCCTTAATTGCTAGTCTGAGATTTAAACTGAGTATAATTAGGTTTTCCCTAATCATGTTTCCATCAATCTCAAATTTCATTTCTCCCTTTTCATAATTCCCTTATGGAACACATATCTTCTTTTCAGAGAAAGCTACACTGCAGTAAACATTGAATAATTCTGCCTTTATTTTTCTACCCATTGGCATTCTGTCATTTCCATTAAAACACTTGCATACACAATCTTCTCTCGTTTTCCTCTTCCTTAGCCTTTTGTTGTTTTTAGGTTTCTGCCAGCCTCAATCCATTCCAAGCTTTACTTTTTGGCATCTTCTTTATAACTTCAGGCTACATGCAGGATGATCTCTGTCCACCTTCCTATGTATCCTTTTTATTGTGAGTCACGGGTAGATTTTATTAATTCAACTGTGCATGCATTTGACTTCTCAATCTCACTAGAGGCCAGTCAAAGAGTTTAGGAAGAAGGTAGCATTGCTACTGTCAACAATTCCTGATTTTATAATGTAACTTCACACAATATCTTACTGACACAGGGAAAAGGCTTCAGACCTTCTGGAAGAAAACAGAGAGCCTCTTCAAAGGAAAGAGAGTGAAAAATGGTTTCTATGTCACTCTAACAGCAGTAATTGCTGGTTTTAAGGGTTGCCTGGCTAAATGCCTGGGAGAGTAAAACCTACATCATGGATTCTTTTGGCAAGTAAAATTTACTTTTTCCTCTGTCCAGGTTTGAAAGCTAAAAGCGATTTGGAAGCAGATATTCCCCACCCCCACCCCAAGGATTTAGGCCATTTCTGAAAATAGTTGTGGGGTTTTTTTTTGTTTCAAATTCATTTTTAGAAAACTGTATTTTAATTGTTAATCTAAAATTATTTAAAGAGGATAGAGTGTAGTACTATAGTGAATCAAATCATTAATTTTCTTTAGTAGCCAGCTCAGAGTCTGGGAAAAACATAAGAGCATAAGATGGCAATTGTCTTTGTGGCGGTATGCAAAACTGCTTGCAATATAAATATTTTTTTTTAATGATGGCTCCAATCAAACCTGGGAATTTTTAAAGTTAGAGTCCAGGTTGTTAAGACATTAAATCTAACCACTTAGTAACTAAATTGGGGAAGATGAAAAGAGCTGGTGATGAAGAGCCTCACTGGCAAGTTCAGGTAGTTTCTGTTTAAGGGGATATATTTGATTTAATCAATAAGGCAATGTTTTGTTTTAGCTTGGTTCAAATTTTAATTTGTTCCAAACTACAATTCCAATACAGTTCCAGTTCTTGATTAGAGGCACTTCTTGCATTCAGCTAGTTGCATGGTGTAATTCAATGATCTCTGTGCAATAAAATTGTAACAATTGATGGGGTGGGGAAATGGGGGAGATAGAAAGGTTCTGAAAGAAAATGTGCCTCTGGTGAGGATACTCACAAACTCTTTCAGAAAAGCAGCAGAGCTACTTCTGGTGCACACTGGGTAGTTTTAATGTAAGAACAAAAATGGTACAACACCTGTCTATATAATTTACCTCTTCCCGCCCTACCACAAAAACCTTTAAATCCAGATGTTTTGTGTTTAGGTACTCAACAGCCCTTTAATGTAAGTTTACTTCCTGAAGGAGTTTGAGTTTGTCTCCTTGCCATTTTAAATAAACCAACAAAATTGATTTGTTAGAGTGTAATGGTTGCATACAGGATAATTAATATTTTTGTTGTTTTAATATATCTATATAGGAAGTAACTAGTTTCATTTTTAATCAATTAGGTGTAATAAATGTTGGCATTAACGATTGAAAATTTTTCTAAATTCTGACTTTTCAATACATTTAGAGGGACCTGTTTTGTTAGTGCCATTTTCTTCTTCCTTCATATTGTGCTGATTACCGTATGTATCGGCGTATAACACGCACAGGCGTATAACACGCATCCCCTTTAATATGCGGCGGGCGCAGCGTCACGACGCTGCGCCGCCGCTAGGCATTACTGGGAACGGGACATCGGCGTATAACACGCATACATCATTTGCCCCCTATTTTCAGGGGGAAAAAGTGCGTGTTATACGCCGATAAATACGGTAAGTAAATTTATCTCAACTTCTTGGTTTTGTCGCTGCTTGTGTGCATGTATGTGTGTGTTCAAGAGACAGCAGATATAAAAATAAAATGGAGCAAATTTCAATAAGTACAGTGACCTTTCTGGAGTGCTGCCAGAAGCATATCCAAACATATTGTCTCTCTCAGTTCTTTCTAATATTACCTTGTATTTGTAAATCTTAAAAATAATTTGAATGTGACAAAGGGCAACTTAAGCCAGCTATTTATTCCTATAGAGATCTTAAGAAATTGACATTGCATCAAACCCAAATTAATGCCTAAATGCTCAGCAACAAAATGCCAAGAAATCATGTTGGCATGTTAACAACTGGTTTAGATATGACGATGTAATCAGTGGATGGAACATGTGTATTTTTATTACATGCCTGCTGCCACAATTTAATTGGGCTTCACATCAAAATACTCCTGCAATCAGATATAGGTCACCTAATTCTTGTTTTTCTCTTGATAAAGGCAGCATAGACGAACAACAAAATTACTCCCTTTGATGGAGCATTATTTCAAGTTTTATGAGGTAAATTAGGTCTACAAAGATATTTTCTTGATACCAAGTGTCCTTCCAATGTGTAGGATTGAACACTTTCACTCTTCAAATTGTGACTAAGGTAAGCAATTTTCATGCTGTGGAAAAAAAGGCAGGCTACAAAGCAGACGACCAAAAGACTTTGAGGTAGGGTTTGATCAAATAGTATTTCACCAGACTTATCCTTAAAATATCTGACCACTAAACTGTCAGAAGCAACTGAGGCAAAGGCAATTGCTACACAGAATCCCTTCTTAATTGTGACTGGCTCAAGTAAACAATGAAAGAACTGTGAAGATGTATTTGCTTGAGTGAGATGCTGTTGCATACTAGGATCCACAACTACATATGTTTAATCTAAGCCAATACACATCTAATCAATATTATAATTCCAAGTTGTTTTATTATAAACCATTTCATTAAAAAAAATGTGCCTCGTAACCATTCACCTTAGCCCCTTTCAAATGTTACACTCAGTATTTAGTGGCATGCAAAAACTTTGAATTTGACACTGCCCAAGTCCAAAACATCCCACTTTGGGTTCAAAACAGCTCTTTTACACTCAAAATACTTCTAAAAATGTTCAGAACAACATTGAAACAATTCTGGGAAAGTCATGACAATTTTGCACACTCTTTCTAGTCTAAGAAAGTTCTGAAACAATCTGTGTTTGAAATTGCACTCCTGTAAAATGAGCATTGTGACAAGACCCAATTGTTGAAGTTTTCAAGAAAGAATGCAGATAGAATGGGTCTTCTTCAAAAAATATGTGCCTCCATCTTGTCCCTGGACATTGCCATCCTCCCCAAATACTTACTGAAACTCTGAAAATTAATACAAAGGTCAACCCATTCCACAAATTTGAAAAAGCTACTAATCTGCAAAAAGTACATCAGTTAATAATTACAGATACAGATAATCAGAGTTGGAAGGGACCTTATAGGTCATCTAGTCCAATCCCCCCACCCAAGCAGGAAACCCTACACCATTTCTGACAAATGGCAGTCCAATCTCTTCTTGAAAGTCTCAACTGATGGCGCTCCCACAACTTCCAAGAGCAAGCTGTTCCATTGGTTGATTAACGGTACAAAGGTAAAATAGGAATTTCCTTTGGTTCTTCAAAACAGTAAAACTTTTATTATTTTTATTCCACTTTTGGGTTAAGAGATGTAGCTATAAGTTCTGGCAAGAATAATTTATTGTCTTATTTTGAAAAATGCGCAATGCTTGAAACTTGTGAATTCATACATAACTAAACTGGTTAAAAGTATAATCCTCATAATTCTTATTTATACTCAGCCTTCAAGATCAACATTACTTCCCTCTGTTTTAGTCACTTTTTAAGTCAAGAAACTAATAAATGTCCCACACCCTTCTAAAGAATAAATATTTTCGTTAAAAAGTTTATTTACAGTTACTACCTAGAATGGTACTCAAGACAATTATTTATGGACACGTGTCATATGTTCCTACTGCCCTTTGAAGCCAGTAGCTTAGATTCCTAAAAATTATGAAGTTGTACAAATTCTCTCCTCCTTTTAGAAAGCCATGTTCATTTTCCTTCCAGGAAACAGGGCTGTCAGCAAAACCATGTACAATCAGTGATACCCAGTGAGCCAGCTTTGGGTCTTCAAAGTAGCAACTGTTGGAAAAGATGGAACAATGTCATGAATAAAGTATATGAAATTAAAAACCATAACTATTCAAAAAGGAACCCAAATTCTCTTTCCATGTACTGGGATTGCAAGACAATGGCATCAAGGTTCATAATAAGACTGCAGTCAAAATATGTCCTGAGGTACAATGTGAGAAATTAGTCATTTCTATTTAAGACTAGTGGATTTTTGTGATAATCATGTATCATTACTTTATTTAACAGGAGGCAGACCAACATGTGAAACAGTGGTTTTTATGGTTCTCCAAGAGGGTAATTGGGGTATTTATAACCCTTCGAGGTAATGGAACAATTTGTAATTGTTTGCTTGAAGTAGACAACCCAGTTTGGGTCTTCTTCCATTTTGTCTCAAAGTGTAGTCGGGAGTTTTTGTGGTAATAATGACATTATTCAAAACCAAGTAGGTAACTAGATCAAACGCTTTAAGATGGACAATGTCATTGTTCAATGCCGTGAACATAGATGGACAATGTCATTTTTTGAACATACAAATGAAAAAAGGGAATATCTATTTATTCATAAAATAAAATAAAACACCTTTTTTAACCCACAGTATTTTGTATAAATGAACCCCACATTCCATGATATTTGTTCAAATGTCTATGAAGAAAAACAAGAAAGTCCAGTTGCCTCTTGAAAAAGCACCTCAGGGATATCCAAATGTAACTTTTTCAAGTGGCAAAAATTACTTCTTGCTGTGTTTAATTATTCCATTTTCTGCATTCTGCGTTCAATTCATCTGAACGAAATCCAATATCACTCCTGTCCTGGACCTGTCACAAATGCTCTTCAAGGAAAAGAACTTCCTTGCTGCCCTTATATTTAAATGAAATGTTGAAATGATATTTGGAAGGTTGCGGTAAACTGAAATAACAGTTACCACATTAAAAAATTAGTAAGTAGAATAGAAATGCTGTCTCGCAGGCACAAGAAAAACTTAATAAAAATGTATGGCAAAAATATGGCTACGTTCTGTACGCCTTAATTTGCACAATTCTAGATGATAATGATTCAAGTCACTGCTTACCATATTTGTTCCAATAAATGAATGATTTTTTCTGATGGTATAAAGCCAGTTATTGTACACATCAAAACTTGTTCTATCAATGTGCTTGGCTGAGGACATACATAGGTTGATAAAAAATTAGATGATGTGTTTTCTCTGAAAATAGAAGATATATAAGATAAACAACTCTGGAACATATATAACATTTGAACATGGCAAATAAATGTTCTGCTTAAAATTTATAATATACACTTAACATCCATTCAGGGTTCATTCCTTTTTCATATTTTGGAGCCTTATAGCAGAGTTTCACTGATTAATTATCTAGATATGGCAGGCACTCCGTAAACAGACAAGCAAATAAAACCAACAGGTGTTAGCGTTTTTGTACACACTTTAGATATTTCTGTTTTGCACTTACTTTCCTCTTTTTGATTGTTCCTGCTATTTTATGCTACTGTTTTTACATTTTTTACACTTTTTCTTAGCATTTTTTGTATCATGTTATCTGTTATAACATCATTTGATTTGGTTATGAGCTTTTTTTTAATGAAAGAAAAAAAATGAAATGCACACAGGCAACTAATACACACAGGCAACATTGCAAGGTTGCAATGAAATGTGGTATGCTGTAGTGGTGAGGAAGGGACAGAAGCAGCATTGATGAATATCAGAAAAGTAAAAAGTTAGATGAAAAATCTGACCATGTAAAAGACAGAATATGAGTGCAAAGTGGCATCTGACACAGCAGAATGCTAAAATGGAGCAACCAAGTTTTGTATGGTTGACTTGGAAGAATCTCCATTTTGAACTGATATTTGCAAATATAACTGAACAATGCCTCCTGCATGTACAATTTAATGCCATCTATTGATTGTCTAGACTTTTATTAATATTTGCATTTTGAAAGGAAATTAAGTTTGGAAGAAACTAAATCCAACTCTGGATCTAAATTCTTGAGTCTTCTGATAGTCTTTTTCCTTTTTCATTATGTTGTTATGTATAGCAATAGCACTTAGACTTATATACCATTTCCCAAGTGCTTTACAGCCCTCTCTAAGCCGTTTACAGAGTCAGCCTATTTCCCCCAACAATCTGGGTCCTCATTCTACCGACCTCGGAAGGATGGAAGGCTGAGTCAACCTTGAGCTTGGTGAGGTTTGAACTGCCAAATTGCAGGCAGCCAGCAGTCAGCAGAAGTAGCCTACAATACTACATTCTAATCATTGGCCGACCAGGGCTCTTTGAATGTGCTATATGCACATTCAATGCTTCCATCCATGCTGTATTTATTAATAAATTGCTACACTTAAAAGTATTCCAACTGCAATTTTTAATTAATGAAAGTTGAATTTGATGTAATAGAGGAAGCCCGGGAGTTTCTAATGATGTGAGCTGTGATTGGGGGGGGGGGGGGGGTGTCTCTTTTTTTTTTGTTTTTTTTTTGGTTTTTTTAGCTTTTATAGCATTACGGTGCTCAATCTCTAAAGCTAAATGGATGTTGATTTGAGCCATGTTGATGCAGTGGTTAGAATGCAATACTGCAGGCTAATTCTTCTGTCAGCAGTTCGATTCTCACCTGCTCAAGGTTGACTCAGCCTTCCATCCTTCCAAGGCCAGTAAAATAAGGTTTCAGTTTGTTGCGGGCCATATGCTGGCTCTGTAAAACCCTTAGAGAGAGCTGTAAAGCACTGTTGAGCGGTATATAAGTCTAAGTGTTATTCCTACTTGATCTTTGGCAAGGATGGACTCTTCTGTATATCTGCCTCTTGTGGGTTTTTAAATGTTCTTTTGTTCACCAGCTACCTCATACACCCTTCTTTTCCCTACCAATGGCTATTCTGAATTAACTGAGAAAAATAAAACCTGTTTGGAGTGTTCATTCATTATTTTGTCGCTGCAGAAATCTGCTTACTTGCAGAAGGGTGGGTTTGGTTCTGAAGGAAGCTCATTCCCCCTTCCCAAAAAGGACCCCTTTGTTGTATGAAATTTATCTTATAGTTCTTGCACAACTTTTTGGGGCATAGAACTTATCCAGCCAGAGTATGTATGAGTGGATGAGATACAAATTGCATGCCTACCCACATAAGTTGAATAAATGAATACATAAGTAAATCCTCTTGCTAATAAAAGTCCACTGGGATCCATTCATCCATAAACATTTGTGACTTACTCACTATCCAGAGGAAATTCTGGCAAGTTACAATCCATAAAATAAACAAGTAAAATTTAGAACACACAATATCACACAGGGGCTTAAGGGACAAAAAGGCAGCCAGGTTATATAGATACTGTAACAGGAGAGTAAACAGTCAGGACTTCAAACTGGAAGCAGATGGAAGTTGATGCCCAGCTGACCTCCAAGAGAAGGACAAAGTTCTTCAAAACACATCCCTAGATAATTTACCTCTTCCAAGTGTCACAAAGGCCTCCCTAGAGATTATGTGTTTTTTTTAAAAAAAAACATTTCCCCCCACAAATTTAGTATTTGGTAAAGATCTATTTTAGGCTGAATGATGAAGGTTTCATCATTTTGATTTTTGATTTGCTAACTGTAAATAAATGAAAACATACTTACAAGCCAGCATGAGTAAAAATGGCCCCAAGCCACTCAAAGAATTCTTGTGTGCTGCATGACGCATCTGGCTCACCATGCAATTTATCACTATTTAGAATTGGACACTGCACATTTCTTAATGTGCTAAAAGTTACTTTTGGCCGATGAGCCTGTATCTCCTTTTTAGAAAAATAGGACATCAAACTTGCTTCTTCTGATCCTTAAAAAAACAAACATCATCCCACATTGAAAGTTGGACAATCACTGCCACAAAAATAAGCATCCTGATTTAAAGTATTCCAGTTCCTGTCATGGTACATGAAAAAAGATCTAATCTACTGAATTAAAATGAAATATCCTTGTAACTACATCTGTGCAATTCCCAAAACTTACGACTTCCAACTTTTTCCTCTCATCTTGCTAAGCTCCATTTTCCTTTGAGAAATCAGAGATTCAGTTCTCAGAGAATGACCTCTCTAGGCCATTTTGCCTGAGTTTAAATAACTAACCATTATTGCAAATTACATATTTTAGATTAAGAGACAATTGGGAATAACAAATACCCCTTCCTACCAAATTATGGTTTTAATATACTATTATATTGCATTTAATCTCATATTCAAACCTACTGTTGTTCTTTAAATCATTAAGAAACGTTCCTTTTTAGTTGAAATAATTCCACAATAAGCTGATCTTAGGTGATCTTAAAAAAGGATAGACTAGGAGATCACAAGGAAATTCCCAGGGAAATAGACTAAACTAGCAAGTTGAAAAAAAAAAAACTCAGTGGTACAATGGCAGTGTTATTTCCAAAAAAATATTTGCATGAATCCATTAAGATACTTAGAGTTGAGCTTAATTCAAAAGAATCCTACATTCAGACCTAAAAGCAGATTATATAATGTTCATTCTCATATTATATGTTATGTTCTTCATATACATATAGGCATCTAAAACCATATCAAATGCAAGAATGATTAATTTTTGTAATTCTATTACCTGTAGGTTGCCAAATTAGTAAGAAATCAAATTCAAGTGGCTTTTTTTCCTTCAGGGCCCAAATTATTCTCTTATATTTTTTATTTTCTGGAGTGAAAGCTGTATCCATCAAGTCAACTTTAATTACTATTAAAGAAACAAAAAGAACAAGTGTTAATAGTTCACATGTTATTTGGATAATTAAAAAGCTTTATCTTTTTCTCTCTCTACCCCCTTCTTTATATAAGCACAAAAAAGAACCCTGTTAAATGTTATAATAAAAAATATATGCAAGACTTCATAATTCAGTTGGACTGTAATATTGACCCCAATTCAGTTTTATTCCCAATATCTACAATCCCCCAAATGGAAACATATACAAGCTCTTCAAAAAAATATCTCATATCTCCAGTTATTCCAACAATTTCCTGTGAAAAAAATTGTGTGAAGGATTCTCTATTAATGGATCAGGGCAACCACCTTTTCCTGTACAGATGGATTTTTTTTTCCCAAACTGAACTCCACTGAATTCCAGTTTCCACGTCTCAACATGAGTGTTCTGCCCCCCCCCCAATCTTCATAAAAGTATTTAAGAACCAGAAAGATATGATATTATCTATGAACGATGGATACTTACTGTATCTCATTGGCTTTTTACCAGAATACAAAGAAGAATTGCCTTGCAGTCCAAGCTCTTCATAAGTATCTTTGTCTACCGATAAAATCAATTTGCCTATAACAAGCAAAACCCATATAATTCAGAATGTTATAACCTATTTCGTTTGTACATGTTTTAACACCAAAAATTAGCAATGAAACACTACTCATCCTAAAAACACGCCATATACAATTCCACAAAGGGGTAAAAACATCAACTGTGTTAATTTATCCTCATAAAAGTCTTCTAGATCAAATTCATGACCTCATTTTTAAACCTTTGCTTATCTTTGTGCTTAACTCCGTTGATATTAAATTCCAGTTTTTCAAGAGAATTCAGACAGCTGAATTTACTTCGTGCCCTGAACAATTGCTTAATTTATAAGCAATAAATTGCTTAATTTCTCAAAAGGTATAAAACTGCTTTTCTCCCTCTGCCTCAGTTTAAAAGTTAGGAAAGCCAGCTCTGAAATTTAATCTCTTTTCTGGATGATAAAGAACAATGCAAAGAAGCAGGAGCTCACCATATGTATTTTCAGGGGTGGTTTGTTCTCTCCCTTGGAAAGTTTTATTGCATGCAGAAGAAGGTGTGCAAAATGAAATTAACTTACAAATATATATTTGTAATAATTGATTTTTGCAATCCCTCCACTTCAAAAGAAGTAGTTAAAAGTGTAACAGACTATGTATGAAGATGACTTGGGGAAATGTACATGTCCATGCTTAATTTGGAGTTATGCAAACATGGTAATTGGTCAAATGATTCATATGTACGCTGTGATCTTTCCTCATTTTTAGCAATTATTGCTTAATCCCACTGAGTTAAATAACCAACATTCTGGAGCTATTATAACAACTCTTATATCTTGAATCGGATTTCATACCTGTTGGTAGCAAAGCAGCAGTATTGTCTTGGTCAATTCTTGTATTGTATGTAAGAGCATAACATGAACCTAAAATACACACAAGGTTTGGATGTTTTTTAAAAATCAAATCAAGTCAAACACTACTGGAAATATAATACAGAAGGGGCGTTGGTGCTTACCTGGCACGCCCTTTCTCTGTGAGCTGTGAAGAGCATCCATTGTTTGGGATGATGCTTCTGTCGCTCGTCTGATAGGCTGGGCTTTAATTGAGAGGACGCTCCTCCTCCTCCACGGGACTCCTCCTTAGCGTCCCCAGTTTTGGCGAAGTCGAAGTGATGAAATATTTCTTCTCCTTCACCCTTTCTAATACTTGGCCAGAATAGCATCCCACCAGACAAATAAGGGTGGGGATGGATGCTCTTCACAGCTTGCAGAGAAAGGGTGTGTCAGGTAAGTACCAACGCCCCTTCTCCAGATGAGCTGTTCAGAGCATCCATTGTTTGGGACATACCAAAGCTTGGCGTGTCCTAAGGGAGGGCTTCTGTGTTGTTCGGATTCCCCTTTTCTTGGTCCCTATGGACCCTTTGTAACACTTTCCTGTCAAAGGCAGCCTCCGTAGAGGTGAAGATATCATTCTAATAGTTTCTAAATAAAAGGCGATGGTGAGGCCCATGTTGTCGCCTTGTAAATTTCCTCTATTGGCGCTTGTGGTCCATGTTGTCAACATGCAGCGCTCCAGGTCAAATGAGCAGTGATGCCCCTGGGTACAGGAAGAGACTGTGTCTCATAGGACTTGGGAATTGTGTGCTCAGTCACTTACTGGTCATTGAGGAAGAGGTCTTGCACCCAATGGTGGGTGGTTGAAAAGAAACGAAGATAACCTTCGTTTCCTAACACACATCGTGCTGTTGAAATATATGCAGAAAGCTCGCCTTACACCTAGACTGTGGCATTGTCATGCCAGATTTTATGTCTGTTTCAGACAAACATATGGGAACATCAGTTCCTATGGTCTGTGGAAACCCAAATTTATCTATGGGTGAAAAATGGACCTGGACTAAGGCCCACTCTGTCTGTGTGAAAAATACAGAGCTCCTGTTTAACTGATAAGGCTACTAGATCCAAGATGTAACTGGCCAATGTAATGGCAACCAAGAGAACCACCTTGTACGTTAGGAATGGAGACTCATGGTCTACATGGGCTCAAAGGGAGTTTTCTTGAGTGCAGTAAGGACCTTGTTGAGGTCCCACATGTGGTATCAATGCACTACAGGAGGCTGTAAGATTGTAGTCCCATGCAAGAAACTTGCATATTTGTGGGTGATGAGAAATGGACTGCAAGTCTCTCCTAGTGATGACCAATGCTAAGGCCTCCCCTTTGCCTGTTTATATGAACAAGATAATAATGAAATGTCATTTAAATAACACTGCTGTCTAACAGGTGTTCCCCTGAGATGGACAGCCAGAGCCATCAGAATCTTCGTAAGAACCTTGGGCAGATGACAACCCAAAGGACAGTGCAATGTATTCAAAACGTTGAGTATTATAACAAAAACTAAGAGTTTTGCTATGTGAGGATCTAATTGGAGTGTGGGGATGGGCCTCCATTAAGTCAATGGAGGGTAGAAAATCGCCCCTTCTGAAGCTCAGAAGTATGGAGTTCAGTATACTCATCTTAAGCCTCCTATTAACTAGGGACCGATTAAGTCATTTTAAAACTAAAATTGCCCCTGCTGATCCAGTGCCACAGGTCAGTTGCCTGGATCTCCAATAAATGAACAATAGCTGTCTCCATCATGCTCCCTTTAACAGGATCCCCAAAGAGAAGGCAAGTAATGCAAAGGTTCCGGGGAGAGGACGGAAATTCTATAGCCAGGCCTAATCTTCTGACACCTCTAACCCAGAGGAGGAGGATAATTACCATTATTGTGGTTATAAGAAATTTAGCAGAATCAGAAAACCAAATTAAAATTTTTCTATCATATCCTGTAAGAGGGGTATACGCCACTGAAGAGACCCCTTGTTTCTGGATGAGGTCCAAGAACCTCTGTGGGACAGTTATGACTTCCTCTTACACTATTGGTAGGGAGATGATTAAATCGTCTGACCCCCTCTTACAGTAACGATTGTTGGGCCAAGGGGAATGGAATATCAAGGCAGGCAGTAGTTTTTTGTTTTTGGAAACAACAGAGACTTGAAAAAAGTCTGAGGGCGAAACAGACCTGAAAGTCGGTGGTCTGGCTTAATGCCTTCAATGTCTGATATTCCCTCTTTTTTTAGGGGATCTACCTCTGACAGATTTTGGTCATTGTCGTGAGTAGACCCTTCCTCAACCTGTTCCATCTGGTCTCTAGTTCTCCTTCATCCTGTGCATCATGTGAATGTGTAACTGGATTATATAATACTCCCCCGAAGGAGGTACCTCCTGGTAATGAAGGTCTGTTCTGCATAGAAACTAAATCAAATGAGAATCGAGGTCAGATTGTGGAGGCTGCCTAGCCATCAACTTCTACTGTACCCCGGTTGCGATGCCTCTTCAAGTCGCCATGTCCCTCCAGGCCTTCAATTTGTCAGGGATATCGTCTGGGAGGAGAAATTCTGGCGTGGTCCCACAACTGTCTGTCAGGCAAGTAGCACTGCTGAAGGCCTTGGTTGAACCGGTCCCTTTGAGGCTCTCCTGGATGGCGTTGAGAGATCCAGGGATGGAGGCAGGTGAAATATGGAACACTTCACAAATTTGCGTGTCATCCTTGCGCAGGGGCCATGCTAATCTTCTCTGTATCATTCCAATTTTAGTATATGTGCTGCTGAAGCAAGCGCTCTGGAACTGGGACCAGCTTGGCTGAGGATGAGGACTGAGACTTCTGTTCAACCTCCCTCATGCATTTTTTTTTAAAAAAATATGCTTATCTAACGCATTTTGGCGTCTCTTGGCATCCTTTGTTGCCTTAGAGATCTCTCTAGGACGTTTTGACCTACTTTGAGTTGGTTTATTGTCCTCTGGGGGTATTTTTGGTTGCCCTTGAAGATTCTGACCTAAAGCCCACAAGGTGAGATATCTATATATCTATATGCGTATGCAATATTAACAGACCGTTGATTGGACCAGAGGCCTGATGTAAACAGAGGTAGGGAATCTTCTTGATATTTGCTCCGTCCCCCCTTTTGGGGGGTAAATTCAATTTGTTATTATTCATAATAATATTGATATCATTAATATTATGTTATTGATAATATTTTTGTTATATCTGTGCACAGCTACTAACATAAATTGTTGTGCTGTTACCAAACTCATAATTAGATGACTGAATATGGAATCAAATTGTGAAGCCAAATAGAGAACACCTTTCAGGACCTGTATTGCAATTGGGTGATCCTGCAGTCACTGGCCCTCAACAGCTTCCTGCATGGGCGGACACAGGCCTTTGCGCTTGCTGTTACTGTGATGCTATATTCTGTGAGGGCTGCCAACTTAAAAAGGAAGCCCGATAGTCAACCTCAGAAAGAGGTTCACAATAGGCATAAATGTCCCCTGGACCCTTACGGAGATCCTTGTGAGGGGAAGTGGCCTCTCAACAGATAATGCCATGGAATTCTTATAAACAAAATGATGCTGGCATTGTTTTAGTCATCAAGATGTAGCATCAACCATCACCTCTTATTTTGAGCTGATGTGAATCTAACTAGAATTTGAGAATTTGAGCAGGAGAAAGAGTTCTCCTGGCTCCACCCGATCAATAGCCCTTGCTTCTTCATATACCTTGCGGGAGTATATCTGAAACTACAGAATCTCCTGTGGAGAGATACCTGAGGGTAAGGATGCTCTGTCCTGTTTAGTGACCGGAGTTCTAGGGAATTCCAGTCAGAAGGAGCGCTCTGTTGTTCGCCAGAGCAATATGCTGCACCTCCGCAGAGATACATTGGCGTATTGCTAATTCCATCCACAGTCACATCTTTGTGGGAATCTTTTCTGGTAAGTCATCATCTTGACAGAATCTGGCTGCTGTTGGAGCAATGTGGCCACAGAGGCACTTCGAGTCACTTGTACTGATCTAGATGGGCTACCTGATCTTGTGCATCTGTGCTGTGTCTGGATTACACAGACAGATCCAGGGGTGGTTGCTGAGGGGGATTGGAGCCGAAGTAGGCCTGGAGGATGAGGTTTGAGAATTTTCTTCATCCTCCCACATGAACTTCTTTATGTGCTTTTCTAGTACCTTATGGTGCTTGTTAGTGTCTTTTTCTGCTGCTTAGGAGGTACCCTTAGAATGCTTCAATTTGTTTTGAGAATTTGACATGGCTCTTGAGCTATGTAATGAGTTAAATCGGCTCAGCAGCACTTCCATACCTTGTGGGGAGTCGATACTGTAGTTTCCCCTTGAATAAAAAGGCACGGTGGGGCAGATGGAGCTGATGCCCCCACCCCAGACGGTGTTCCCAGGGGACAGAAAGAAGCCTTGGACCCTTTTAAAATGGAGCCTCTCCTGTTGGGCGTGGGCGGTGGCGATCGTAGTGGCTCGGCTAGAAATGTGAGTTGTCTGATCATTCTGGGGGCGAGAGATCATTATCTGAAGCTACGGTGAGCTCCCTTGACTCAAGTTATATGCCGCAGGGAGCTGCTTGACTCATTGAAACTAAAAGCCTTAAATGATTTGTTTAGAGTTAAAAAGCAAACCTTTTTGTTGTCTCCTTTTGAAGCCTTTGCTATTCCGGCCAAGCGAAAGGAAATCAAGCTGCCTATATCCACGAAGGTGAGCAAAAACTGGGGTCGCTAGGGAGGAGTCCCGTGGGGGAGGAGGAGTGTCCTCTCAATTAAAGCCCAGCCTATCAGACGAGCGACAGAAGCATCATCCCAAACAATGGATGCTCTGAGCAGCTCATCTGGAGAACCACTATTAAGAGGAAGCTCATTTATCTCTAACCAAAAGGGTTCCTTGGGTATTATTACAACAATTTTATGAGCTGCTGCTATATCTTCCCTTCTAACACTACTGCAGCAGTAGCTGGGCCAGGGAATATACTTCCCTCTAGATTCATTCTTCAGAAGCAATACGGGGATGCAATTGCTTCTTCTAGTAATGTCACAAAAGGTTATTGCTTCTGAAAGACAATGAAAATGTGAAACCGAAGATTTTCATGCAGTGCAGCAGGTTAGCTACTTAATCTGCACATGAGGGAATGCTGCAAATAAAAGGATGAAGATATTATTAAATGAGGTTTAATATACTGTAGTTATATGTCCATCGCTGTGGATTTTCAATTTCAGCAAATTTGAATTTGGAAATTTACAGAATCCTCTACCCTAAAACGAAAATAAAATGAAACTTATTCTCTTCTAAGGATTCTAACGTATTCTGAGATTATAATCATTTATTACCAATTGTGAATCTAGGAGCAGGATTGATGGCATGTATTCCCTGGGGAGGGAGCTCAGGAAAGAGAACAAAGCTACTTTCATACTCAGTTATCTAAGTCAATTCTCACTTACCTTTTTTCACAAATGTGTTAATGAATTCTTGGGCTACTAGCTCATGAAGAAATAAATTCTTTACAAGGTAATATTCCCCAAAATCAGCAACCACATTTTTTAGGGCTTGTGGAACTATTCCACAATCAGGTATCAAAAAGGACACCTATCAAAAGAACATATGGGACACAAATCAGATCATCTATTTATTGATAAAATGGACTGAAACACAACATTTTTACATAGTCTCCTGCAAAACATAAAAATGAAACGCCATAGAATTTGCACAAAATAGAAATACCAAACAGGAAGTCAGTGTTTAGTCTACAGTATAATATACCATTTCTTGAATCCAAGTCCAATTCAGTGGTCTACTATACACCATTGGCTTTCTCTGCCTATGGTAGATGCTCATCTTCACCATGACACTCATATTGACAATTGCTTTAAATGTTTATGCACTGCTTGTAGATCACGCAATCTCAAGGCAGTTTACAAACATTACAATTATAACTGTCTTTCCCTCCTCCACAGCATCTCCTTTGGAAATCCAACATCAATTTAATTACCCCATGTTAAAGTATTAAGATTTAAGAACTGACCAGCAGTAGTTAATTGCTGCCAGCTGGCTGATGCAATGACTCGGCATAGCGTGGGTATTTGCCTTTAAGACTAGGGATGGGTTCTATCCCTTTAAGAAGTGGTTATATATTGCAGCCATTAGAGGGTGTGGTTCCCTCTCTTCTTGTGTCCTGTATTCATTGAAGAAGTTCTCCTTGTAGAGTTAAGACGTTTGCACGAAAGGTATTTGGCCTACCACATATATTTTCTGTATTGTATATAAATCACTATTAAATGTCTAAGTCTCTGTATGCTGTGTTTTGCTCCTGGGTTGTCTCATAATGGTAGTCATGCTGCAAACGTTCTGACACCCCACGTGTCTGATAAAATGATGCACAGCCAACTGTTGAAGAAATGGATTTTAAAATTGACTGAATTACCAGAGATGGCAAAATTAACTGCTTTGATCAGATAATGGACCACAAAGTTTTATAAGAGACTGGAAGCCATTTGTGGACTTTCTACATATTAATAAAAATAACAGATGGTTAACAGAAGAATTTGAAGATCAGTGTTTAGCTTAACCTGACTTTCTTTTCATACACATACATATACACAAACATATATACACTGCTCAAAAAACTAAAGGGAACACAAAAATAAGACATCCTAGATCTGAATGAATGAAATATTCTTATTAAATACTTCGTTCATTACATAGTTGAATGTGCTGACAACAAAATCACACAAAAATTATCAACGGAAATCAAATTTAGCAACCCATGGAGGTCTGGATTTGGAGTTACACTCAAAATTAAAGTGGAAAAAAAACACTACAGGCTGATCCAACTTTGATGTAATGTCCTTTAAACAAGTCAAAATGAGGCTCAGTAGTGTGTGTGGCCTCCACGTGCCTGTATGACCTCCCTATAACGCCTGGGCATGCTCCTGATGAGGTGGCGGATGGTCTCCTGAGGGATCTCCTCCCACACCTGGACTAAAGCATCCCCCAACTCCTGGACAGTCTGTAGTGCAATGTGGCGTTGGTGGAGGGAGCGAGACATAATGTCCCAGTTGTGCTCAATTGGATTCAGGTCTGGGGAACGGGCAGGCCAGTCCATAGCATCAATGCCTTCGTCTTGCAGGAACTGCTGACACACTTCAGCCAAATGAGGCTTAGCAGTCAGGCTACCTCTGGCAAGCACATGGAGGGCTGTGCGGCCCCCTAAAGAAATGCCACCCTACACCTATTACTGACCCACTGCCAAACTGGTCATGCTGGAGGATGTTACACGGAGCAGAACGTTCTCCACAGCATCTCCAGACCCTGTCACGTCTGTCACATGTGCTCTGTGTGAACCTGCTTTAATTTGTGAAGAGCACAGGGCACCAGTGGCGAATTTGCTGATCTTGGTGTTCTCTGGCAAATGCCAAACTTCCTGCATGGTGTTGGGCTGTAAACACAACCCCCATCTGTGGACGTCGGGCCCTCATACCACCCTCATGGAGTCTGTTTCTGACCGTTTGAGCAGCCACATGCACATTTGTGGCCCGCTGGAGGTCATTTTGAAGCGGTCCTGATGCTGGGTTGTTGCCCTCCTATGGCCTCCTCCACGTCTCCTGATGTACTGGCCTGTCTCCTGGTAGCACCTTCATGCTCTGGACACTACGCTGACAGACACAGTAAACCTTCTTCCCATGGCTCGCATTGATGTGCCATCCTGGATGAGCTGCACTACCTGAGCCATTTGTGTGAGTTGTAGACTCCGTCTCATGCTACCACTAGAGTGAAAACACCGCCAGCATTCAAAACTGACCAAGCCATCAGCCAGAAAGCATAGGAACTGAGAAGTGGTCTGTGGTCACCACCTGCAGAACCACTCCTTTATTGGGGATGTCTTGCTAACTGCCTATGCTTTCTACCTGTTGTCTATTCCATTTGCACAACAGCATGTGAAATTGATTGTCAATCAGTGTTGCTACCTAAGTGGACAGTTTGATTTCACAGAAGTGTGATTCACTTGAAGTTACATTGTGTTAAGTGTTCCCTTTATTTTTTTGAGCAGTGTATATTATACATATAAAAGAGAAATACCATTTATGCATCATCACAAAATCTTCAGAACCGTAAAGCCTACAAACTTTAAATTTGACACGGATCTTTCTCTTGGCTTCTAGGTGCTCACCAAGAAAGGATTTTTTGAAATGACCATCATAGCATTAGTATTTTGTATATTATTATTACCACACTCTGATGCTAAGGAGTTCTACTCCCTCTTTTCACCTAAAAAGAAACCTGTTTCAAATGCAAAACACAAGCAGAGGAGTTTTAGTTTCAGAGCAGCAATCAGCTTTAGTACAGATCAGTTGAGCTAAGCCATGCCCTGCCTCCTCGCTGTCTCCTTCTTGCTCACAGAGGAAATATTGTGTCAGTTTCCAAACAGCTCTTAACTCTCTCACACACTGACAGGACACTAACCAGATGAATACCGATGGATGCTGGTAGGCAGTTGGGTCACCTTTTCTCCTTTTTTTATATACCAATCTTCTTTCTTTTTTGTTGTTGTTCATGCTGGATGTATTTTTTTGCTTTGTTTGCTTTTCTGTTTTGTATTTTATCTTTTATGATGAAACAAAATATATATACTTAAATGGAAATGATGCATAGCTTACACAAGTTTATGATTTCTCATAAAATCTGTTAATCAGAAACTGTGTTATCAGACTACTTCTAATTTCTGGCTACAAAAGACTAACTCGGATCTCTTGTAATTGTCTAAATTATTCAGCAGTCTTAATCTTCTGATTGGAATTTCAATTTTTCAGTCACTGGGCTCCTGGCATGTGAAGAATGTTTTCAACAGACACTCCTTTGAACAGGCTCCTTCTCAGGCCTTTCCTAGAATGTTGATACTCTTGTTAGAAAGGAGGATATTGGGACAATTTCTATGCTGCTTTTTATCTTTTAGTCTTTTTAAGCAGGCCAGACTAATTCACTTCTGTTCTATACCTCCGTTGCTCTTGGTTTTATTGACTTCCAGAACAATAGCTGTATTAATCTCTGGCTTGAAAAATGAAGTGTTCAGCACTCTCAATCACACTTTTAATTAATTTCATCAGATGCTCAAATTATTACACTAAACTAGAACTAGATAGTTGGAATGGTGAAAGTGAAATGAAATAAAAAATACAGAATCCATGATGATAAGAATTCTATAGGCAAGTTATTAACATCTAATTTCATTCTACAAATGAAACACAGTGGAGGGAATCCAATCAATTGCTATGAGATTTTGAGAAGCAAAACACCTCCTCTTGCTCATCTATATTGGGAAGAAAGGATTCAAGAGTATTTACATATCTTGCTCCCTGACAATTATGCAAAAGGGGGGATATTTAAAGTACCACAATCAGATCCTGTAAACTTTTGAGAAATGAAAGTGACCTGAATAGATTTTAAACATGAGATGAAAAACAGAATACCAAATATACCATTGTAGATGGTTTAATTAGACTATTATTACTGTACTTTACTGAAAGTAAAATAAAAAGAAATATATTTTTTCAAGTAATTGCAATATAATGGTTCAGCAAATGATTGTTCTACAAAAATCACCTGGTAGACAGTTTTAATTAATACACAATTCTCTTTTTGTTCTTCTTTGATCTAAAATTTCTTGAGATGTTTCTTACACTGCAGTGTTTTGATTCTTTATTCAAAATTTAATGCAATATTAAACATCTAAGCCAACCAAATAATGAATAACTCTAAGATAGTTGGATGTGGCATATCAAGATACTATTCCAGCTAATTATAATACAATACTCCCATATACTTAAATATACATAAATTACAATGCATAAGTAGACATGTACTTTCAGCACACACAGAGAATTTCATGTTAAAAAATATAGCTGCAACAAGCAGCACCATAAAATTAAAGAGGGGGCAATTAAAATTTCAGATACTTGTTCCAATTGGTAGTATTACTGAATAATGTTGTTACTACAGGGTACTGTAATATTTTATTTTTTGTTCTCTTTTATTTGGTTTAGAGAGTAACAAAGGCCTCTTTAAACTGGTTCTTCCTAGTATAAATATTGGAAAGTGTCAGTGTGGCCTATAACCATTTTAAATGAATGTTTAATTTTTTAAATTAGCATTTTTATATTATTTAAATGTATTTTTCTTAAGAATATTTTACTGTAAACACATTTAGATGCATTGTGGAACAGAGATATTGGTATATGCTTGTAAGTCAGGGATGACATAAAAGAAAACAATTAAAAAGATTCTGGCAGAATCTTAAAAAAGAGATTTATACTGCAATTCTTCTGTCCTTTACCTGAGAATAAAGTCTTATTTCTGAGGAGTATAAACCAGAAGTCTCATATTTATGATCTTATGGCATGATGCCCCCTTTGTGACCTTCTGACAAGCAAAGTCAATGAGGAAGCCAGATTCACTTAACAGCTATGTCGCTAATTTAACAACTGCAATGACTCACTTAACAACTGTGGCAAGAAAGATCGAAAATTGGGACAAAACTCACTTAACAAATAAACATTTAGCCGCAGAAAATTTGGGCTCAACTGCAGTCGTAAATCAAGGATTACCCATAGTATGCTGGGGGATTTTTGCTTCTTGTCTACTCATCATTTCACACTGTTTTAATCCCAGTATGTAAGCCGCCTGCAGTTACCTGAGTGAATGAGGCTGCATACAAACTGATAAATAGAATTTTTTATTGGCCAAGTATGAGTGGACATTTGGTCGGACACACACACTCACAGAAATAAATCTCTAATTCACATTATGACATGTTTCATGACCAAACACAACTTTTCTCCAGTATGGGCCACCACACATTTGCTAAATCTTTCAACCGCCCCCCAAATCTTAAGTTTTTTTTTATCTATGGAGATTCTCAGTCATCCAGGTCATGGTTGTCCCAAGAGGCAACTGGACTTTCTGGTTTGTTTTTTTTTCCTCTGAAGACTTTCCCTTCACACGCCTTTGCACTACTCAGTTGATTCTTTCTGGGTTTTTCTTTGAAGACCCGTTTCGCTTCTCATCCAAGAAGCTTCCTCAACCCAAGAAGCGAAAACATCTTCAAATAAAAACCGACAAACCAGAAAGCCCAGTTGCCTCTTGAAAAAACACCTTTGGGTCTCAGTGGGTTTTTGTAAATCCCGGCTAACGGAGATGCCTCTCCTTAAAACAGGGGTCTTCAAACTTGTCAGCTTTAAGACTTGTGCACTTCAACTCCCAGAATTCCTCAGCCAGCTTTGCTTTGCCTTAAAACAGGGTTATCCAATCTTGGCAACTTTAAGACTTGTGGACTTCAACTCCCAGAATTCTGGGAGTTGAAGTCCACAAGTCTTAAAGTTGCCAAGGTTGGACACCCCTGCCTTAAAAGAAACGCGCAATTTTGCTTCCCGCTGAACCCACAACGGGGCTGGATGGACGGCCGTTGATAAAAAGAGGAACCGCGTTGCCCCCTTAAGATTCTCGTCCCTTTCTGAACAGCCTCAGCCGGGCGCTCCTCCACACCACCACCACCACCGCCCGCACTCACCCGGCAGTTGAAAGCGTGCTCCCGCACGTGCGCCACATGCCGAGATCGCTCGTGCTGCACGTGGCTCTTCTCGCACACCAGCAAGTGGCGGGGAAATTCGCGCATCCACCGCAAAGGCAAAAACATAGTTTCCCGCTTGCTCGCGCACGCGCGCCCCCACTCGCGCGCCACACAGCTGCGGAAGCCGGGCTGGACAGACACGGGGGGGGGGGAAATCTCTTACGTCACGCTTCGTCAGGAGGCGGAGGAGAGCCAGCGAGCCCCGCCCAGCGGCGGGGCAAATATGAGGGTTTAACGCATGGTCAGTGCGTACGGCTGAAGCATCTGTTTCCTTACTTAGGTGCCAGGAACAGAAGGGACGGTTTGGGAATAAAATGCTGTTTAGGGCACAGAGTACTTTGAAAACCTTAGACCAAAGTCTCCAACCTTGCCAACTTTAAGACTTGTGGACTTCAATTCCCAGAATTCCTCAGCCAGCTTTGCCTTAGAGCGTCCTGGCTGAGGAATTCTGGGAGTTGGAGTCCACCCTTCTCAAAGGGGGCTGAGGTTGAAACACTGCGGTAGAGCAAATTAAAGGAAAACAATTGTAAGAAATTGAACAAACGGGGCTGTAACTAGACCTGATTCAATGAGTAGTGATGAAATCCTAACCCAAAGTGAAAATTTAGTCTCAGGTCTGTCCAGGGAAAAGGGAAGCTGGGATATATCCTGTATACAAAATGTGAGTGAAAAATAAGGCCAAGATGTGATATTTGTGAGCTGTAATAATCAATTTTAATATTGAGATTTTTCAATTCAATTCCCTTGGCAATGTGTGTGTTGCATCCTGTATTTCTTATACCTTAGACAAATTGAAGTGTGGACTAAATACCATTTCAATTCATCTATGAATCCTCGATTTTTATCCATGTGGTTCTTATCATTGTTTCTTTTTCAAATCTCATTTTACTGAGATGATAGGACCTCTGGACAAGAGTATATCAAGGTTACATTCAATGCTAGTAGTCGATATCAAGTTGAAACAATTAAAGATGGCTTTAAGGTGCCTCAACTGTGAACCAGGAGGAGCAAGATGTAATTTCTTGATTGTTGTTCTTATTTTTGATGTTATATAAAACCATTTACCAAGGCATGTGTATGAAGAAGAGCCCTTAGAGTTACCAAACTGTGAATCTCACGTTTTTTGAATATCAAATCTGGAGTTCACAATCTTTTGAGATAGATTTATTCTTCCATTTTTTTTTAAAAAAATAGCAATATAACTTTTGGGAAGGAAGTAGGGCAAAAGTGGAAGTTATGAAATATGCATCTAAGTAACCCAAAGACTCATGTAATCGAGGTGTAGGGTTAAACCTTTTAAAAGCTTAAATTATGTATCTTCATCCTGGAACTGTTGCTTGCATGAGACTATGTGAGGGAGTTGTAAGTCCACAAGTCTTAAAACTGCCAAGGTTGGACAGCCTTGCTCTAGTCTAACCAAAACCACTACCTAGGGTTGCTATGAGACAAACATAAATTTACTTTATTCTGACCATTTCCATGGGGGCAGAGAAAGAAAGAGGGAGGTAAATCAATCATTTGCTGACCTGCCTACAGGTATTCATTTACCTCTTTCCCTCCAAGTGACATATCTAATCAATGTTCTTTTTATATCCAGCTTTAGAAATGCTTGCTCTAGAGGGTGAGGTGTTCCAGGCAATTGTGTGCCAACAGAGACATTAACACTTAAATGTTTATGTATACTAGTTGCAGCCACATTGCCAAGTAACCGTGGTCTATAAATTTTGCATGTAACCACAAAATGAGATTTTATTTTATTCTCCTGCCCCCATGAAAAAGAATAAGAATTTCTTAATTATGAACATGCCTTTTTACGTGCAATGTCTCTTTTTCCTTTGCAATAACTTTCTGAAAAAAAATATTGGTGTGAGATTTGCCTTTAAGGCAAAGAGCCAAAATAGACATAATTGGATCACTAATCTACAGTTGGCTCTGACCTCAAGCTAAATCACTTACCTCTGGTATTTGTGCTAGTGCTATTAGCAGTGGAAACTAGCAGCTATATGGACAATTTATTGGGGAACTGACTAGCACTTGGGGAAAGTATTAAATTGATTTTCTCTGCACTCCAGTTTCTCTTCGCCCCAAGTTACTTTTCATGAGAAGAAATGGAATGTGGTGAGATCCATTCACATTCTTCCCATGTTATACTTTCTTGGCTCTAAATAATTGTATAGATTTGTTGCATACAAATGTACTTTGGCCAGGGAATGAAATAGGTAGTTTGTATCCTCTAAGACTTGACACGGGAATAAGTACTGCCTGATAAAACCAGTAATGCAAACAGCAGAGTGACTATATAAAAATAATTTCACATTATAGGAAGGACTTAATAGGTGGATAAAAATGACAAATCCAGTCTAAACATCTCGCCAACTATTCAAACAACTACCATAATAATACATTAAGCTTGTATGCTGCCTGGCTCTGAAACAATTCTGGGCAGTTCACAATAATCAAACAAAGAAATTACAATTAAATAAATAAAAGATAAAGATAGAAGATGACAGATCAGGTGGAATGAAGTGAGGAATCTCACTGTACCTTGCCAAAGGCTTGGACAAAGAGCCAGGTTTTTGTGACTTCCAAGCAACAGTAGAATGGGATATTGAGGAAACCTCATTCCAAAGGGCGGTGCTGCTGTAGAGAATGCATGCTTCAGGATCCCAACAGATGATATTGTTTCACCAAAGGAACCCAGAGAATGCTACTCCTGCAAGTTTAAAACGATTGGGCTGATGTTACGGCTGACAGGTGACCCCTCAAGTTATGCTCTGTTCAATTTTATAGGTAATAACCAGCACCTTGAATTGCATCTAGAAGCAAACTGGCAGCAATATTGCTTGGGCAGCAGAAGTATTATACCTAAACATGCCCATCACAGCTAGCACTGCTGCATTCTGGACCAAAGAAAGCTTTTGGATGGTCTTCAAGGGAAGCCCCATGTAGACCATGTTGCAGTAGTCAAGATGCAAGGTGACTAGAGCATGATTGATTGTACAAAGCTCCTTTTCTTGTCCCACTATGGGAAAGTGCATAACTAACACACCAGATGGAGGCTTGGTAACACCTGCTCTTCAAGCAGGAGCTATAAATCTGGGAACACCTTTAGATTCCATACGAACCTGGAGTGGTACCCCATCCAAGGTCAAAAGTGGAATATTCCCAGATCTGGGTCTGCACCCACAGCAACCCAGTCTTGGTAGGCTTGAATTGGAGGCAGTTTCTTCCCATCCAACCTCGCACAGCTTCTACTAAAATATATATTTGTTGAGCATTATAATGAGGTCTTATTATCACTTCCTAAGTCTTCATTATGGAAACATTATTGACCCATTAGGATGCCAGCCAGAATAGCTAGAATCAAACTAAACAACTATACCAAGCTAAATTGAATGCACAGCACTGACACTGTAATTGCCAATTGCCGGAGAAGCCTCAAGCAAGGCATTCTTGCATAGCTAATGTCTCTGCAAGCTTTCAATACCCAGTGCTTCTTGGAGAAATGATATTAGGATTCTTGTCTGACAGAATACTTAACTGAAAAGATCATTATTTACTGAAGGAACTAGTCCCTTTCTAACTGGGAGGAAACAATAGATACAGGAGTAGGGGAAGACTAGTGGGGACATTTCTTAAACTCAGGATGTTTTGTACGTTTGTTTCAAAGATAGAATAGAATAGAATAGAATAGAATAGAATAGAATAGAATAGAAT